CTTTTTTTTTTTTCTTTTTTTTTTTGGTGTTTCTTATTTGGTCAAGGGTGAGGACCTGGGTTTTGCTGTGTGGAATTAGGCCCGCTGACCTTACCTTCCAACGTAGGCGGTAGATAATCTTCTTTCGTGATTGGAGTTTAAATGCAAAATCTTCAATCATGAAGCTTTGAGCTTGAACGGTGGTTGGCCTAGGGCTCTTTGTTGCTAGACGTGCAGCAGAATTCAGAGAAACAGGTAAATTAACGGACCTTGATTATGCTTGGGAGTGACGAGATCCACGCTTTGTACAGAAAACACTCTGAGTGAACTAAAAGTCCTGTTGTTACAGAATTTTTAATTTCTGACTTTAAGATAAAAATTGTGTTTTTCAGTGTCTTTCCTTATGCACTTACACAGTTTTTTCTGCATCACCCCCACCCTCTGCCAGAATCCTGGAGTAATTTGAGGCTGGATCTCCAATAAGATCACTGTGGCAGAATTCTCCTTATTTTCTGTTCCTTAGCACTGCTAATGTTATATTTCCTGTTGCTGGTGTGAGGTGCTGTGAGATCCTCTGCTTTCCAGCTACTCCCAGATGGAAAGTGTGTTATTTTTATTCACGATGCTAGTGTATCCTGTCGCTGTGGCTTGTGTTCTGCAGCAGCTGCCTTAGACTGTGTCTTTATGCAAGACTGGAGTGGCATTTGGCTCTCCTCCTCAGAATTGCCTGTAGCTCATGACTAAAAGGCCTGTATCTAATACCGGTGAAACAAGACAAATCCTGTCCTCGCAAATGAGCACAGAAGGCTTTGTGTCTTGAAATGGAAAGCTCCCTGTACAGTGCTCTTATTAAAAGTTGCAGAAAATCAAATTACAAGGAGTGCTGTGAGTAAGGGACTGGCCTGGAGCTTCCTAACTGTTCCTGCAGGGATAAGTGTTTGTTGACACGTTTTCCTGTGGGAAAACATTAGCAGACTTAGGGCTTCATCAGATAAACTTCAGATATCCAGGTTGAGCCTTGGATCTTTCTTGAAGATAATCATCCGCATCG